CCCCCGAAATTACTCATTTCCCTCTAATACTTATACTTCAGCACGAAGTCACTATGCAAAGCCTACATTTAAGCAGTGGAGAGTCATGTTCCATCTCCTTGTGGGGCAATTTCTACAAAATGTCCTGTAATTCTTCTGAACAAAAGAGTTGTCTATTTACTTCTTCAATAATTTATTTATGTCAGTATGGGCTCATATATTTATTTTATATTCTTGGTTATTATAATCCAATGTTAATACTTCTTCCTAATTAGCCACCATGATTTTCCTGTGTCTTCTCATAAAAATCAATCTTTGGAATCCCTCAAAATAGATGCAATAACCTTGTCAGCTGACTTCTCTGCTTTGAATTTAATTGGCCCAAAACATCCCTTTGGAAGCAACTGTTTTGACTGGACCTTTGTTTTGAAGGCATCCTAGGGGGATTAAGACAACCACACACCTGAGAGAACCTGTACGCAGCCATCCACCGATCGCAGAGACATGTTTAAACATACTGTTTGGAATAAACTTGAACAAGTATGAACTGAAATTGTAGTAAGAATATTCTTTGACTTTCCCTTGTATGCCACTGGACAGAACACAACTATGTTGACAGTCTATGAAATGAACCTATATATGGAATAATGACAAATTTTACTATGCTAATCTCACATTTTTATTTAAGGAAGTGGCAAAAGAGTATTATTAGGGAGCACATCGTATATGGTTTACCTGCTTAATTTATGAAGGTTAAAAACTAATCTTAAAAACGCAACGTTTTGAACTTCCGGGAAGATGGTAACTAAGTAACACATATCAGAGGGACTCCACAGAAATCATCGCAGGATAGTTACTAAGAGGGAAATTCTACACTGCCGGGTTACAGGAGGAGCATCATAAAGATAAGTAAGCACAGATCCACTAAGTTTTGAGGAGCTGGGTTTTCTGACTTACCACAGTGGATGCCGGCTAGGGTTTGACCTTAGTCCCGCCAATGTCTCTGCCGGAGCGGGGATAATTTAGAGCCAGTGCAGAGGCTTTATTTCAACACAGCCACAGCTTGCCATTGCTTCGGGGAAGGGATTAATCCCCTCCAGCCCCAATTCAGGGATCAGGCTCAGCTATATTGTTACTTTTGTTTTGCTCTCTTCTCTCTATGCCCCCACAGTCTCAGCAGGCTTAGTTATTTTTGTTTTTGTTTTGTTTTTTCTTTTTTCTCCCCCCTTTTCTCTCACACGCCACTGCTGACTTCTAGACCACTCCACTTAGCCTTGGGCATTTACGCCTTCCCTCCACCCAGCTGGGAGAGGTCAACCCTCTGCAGCATCACCCCAGGCTGGGGAAAGCCTGCCCACCCTCCACCAGGTTCAGACTGGACAAATTCTTG